GCCTTCTTGGAAACAGTGAGAAGACAGTGGAGAAAGCGATGATGAAAGAGTATGTGCAAAGGCCCTGGAATTGAGGTCCTGGCTATCAGTCAGCCTGCTATCCCAGAAAGAAGGAGGGATCTCTATTCCTGCACCCTACCTGGATCCAATATTCCACAAGGGAGGAATGGTAAACACCCCCTCATGGCTAAAGCAGGATATGGGTCATCTGAAATGATTCCCCTCATGGCTTCATCTCCTGCTCCAAAGAGGGAAACCTAGACAGAGAGTGAAGAGGAATTACAGGGTTAGGCCTGAGATTATAGTACAGAACTCAAGTCTTCATGCTGGGAAATCCTCCAGGGTGAAGATTCCTGCATTTGCTCAGCTAGAGCCTCCTCAGGCAGAAAGCCTTCTCCTCATTGCCTGCCCTACCCTGCACCTTCCTCCTCCCACCGATCCAGCCCCAACCTGTTCCACTCCCTGGAGCTAGCATGTCTGCCTCCACTGTTGCCTGGAGTTTGTGGGAAGCAAGTGCTCCAGGTGTCTGCCAGCTAGCGTGTGGGTGGATGTAGCTGTATGTTTTGCACAGAACCTCTGTGCAGGGGTTCTGGGGGGAGGGGAGTCTTTCTCCTCTGTTTACTGGGAGCTTCCAGTTCCTCCTGCCCAGGTACCAGAGTTGCAGACCCTTCTTTTCTTCTCTTTCTTTTCCTTGTTTGCTTTTTCCTGTACCAAGGATTGAACCCAGTGTTGCTTAACCAGTGAGCCACATCCCTAGCCTCCCCCTTTTTTTTGGGGGGGGGGTAACTAGGGATTGAACTCAGGGGCACTTAACCATTGAGCCACATCCCCAGCCCTATTTTGTATTTTATTTAAGAGACAAGGTCTCAACTTTGAACCCGAGATCCTCCTGCCTCAGCCTCATGAGCTGCTGGGATTGCAGGGGTATGCCACACACCCAGCTTCTTCTCTCTCACTTCGCATGATACTCCAGGGCTTCAGTATGCTGGCAAGTACTTTGCCACTGAGCTACATCCTCAGGTACCATCCCCAGCTCTAGCCCCCACAGTTGGGTTTCTATTTCTTTTATTTTGGTACTTGGGATTGAACCCAGGGGCATGCTATCTTTTACTACTGAGCTACATCCCCAATCCTTTTTGACACAAGGTCTTGCTAAGTTGCTAAGAGTCTCCATAAAGGATCTTGCTGAGGCCTAGAAATGAATGATCCTCCTACCTCAGCCTACCAATTGGCTGGGATTACAGGTGTATACCCCATATCTGGCTTTAGTTCTTCCTGAAGAAAAGGAATTGAATGCCTTTGGAGGAAGGAAAAGGCCTCTTTGTGGCTCTGCGTCCTTTGGAGCAGGCAAAGAGGTCATGGGACCAATGGGGTTAAGTTCCAGCACTGCTGTGACCCACTTTTCTCCCTGTGCCCACATCCCCTGGGGCCAGGGTGTTGGGTGGGGCCAACTTGGCACCCCCGCATACACACACCTGGGACTTCCCCTGGATGGAAACTCCCAGGACCCAGGCGTCCTGCCTGCCCTGCCAACTCCCACCAGTTCACCTTCACTCAGATCTCCCTGCTGCCAAATTACATCTCTGTGCCAGCACTAAGGGGCGCCAAGGATGTCTAGCTCATTTGGGGCTGCCTTTGATGTCTGGCTGTCCCCATATGATGTACTCATTTAAAGAAATGATGTAGGGCTGAGAGGAGAAGTTTGGGGAAAGCTCTCCTTTGTTGAGTACCAGGCATTGTGGTAGGCATGTACAGTGTCTCATTTAATCTGCAGGGCAAGGCAGCCCAGAGAGCTCTAGTTATCATCCTCATTTCACAGAGGAGGGAGATGAGAACTGGAGAGGTCAAGTGACTGGTTTATTATCACACAGCTAGGAAGTGGCAGAGCTAAGATGGGAACTCAGGTTTTGGAGGTCCTGGCTCTCTTCACTATAGCAGTCTTTTGACCCTTTTCCTATTACTACCTATCTCTCCGTAAGATGACAGAATTAGGAAATTCAATTCCGTACAATTTAGCAAACATTTATTGAGCATCCAGTATATGCCAGGCAGACAGATGATAAAAATAAAGAGAAGGTCGGGCTGGGGCTGTTGCTCAGCGGTAGAGCGCTCGCCAAGCATGTGTGAGACCCTGGGTTCGATCCTCAGCACCACATAAAAATAAATAAATAATATAAAGGTATTCTGTCCAACTATGACTAAAAAATAATTTAAAAAAATAAAGAGAAGGTCACTGTTCTCAAGGTCTGGTGGAAAAGATGGGTATAATGGATTAAGAAGTATCTTAACTTCAGCATAATTTGAGCAAGTTATCATGGAGCACCCAAAGAAAGGCTACTTTTATTTCTTTTTTTCTGTACAAAGTATATAAGTATATTGTGAACAGGGTATAAAATAAGCTGAGGGGCTGGGGATGTGGCTCAAGCGGTAGCGCGCTTGCCTGGCATGCATGCGGCCCGGGTTTGATCCTCCGCACCACATACAAACAAAGATGTTGTGTCCGCCAAAAACTAAAAAATAAATATTAAAAAATTTTTAAAAACAAAATAAAATAAGCTGAAAAAAATTGAACAGTATTTAACTGCCATCCTGGACAAGAAATGGAGAATTTCCTGCACTCTGGAAGTTCCCCACTTGTCCCATCCACAATTCCCTCCCTTCCCTAAAAACGTAGCCACCATCCAAACTTTTATACTAATAATAAACAAGGAACTTATTTTACTTTTTTTTTAAAGTGTGTGTCTGTGTGTGTGTGTGTGTATGCTAGGGATGGAACCCAGTGTCTCATGCATTCCAGGCCAGGTATTCTACCACTAAGCCAAATCCCAAGCCCTCAACGTCTTGTTTGTGAGATATATACAAGTTGTTTCACCAAGCTAGCTTTTATTGTTGCATAGTATTCATTGCATGAATAATATACCCAATTCACTTTTTTATTCTACTGTTGAGCTATCATAAATAATATGGCAATAAACATTCCTATTCTTTTTTTTCTTTTGGTACTGGGGATTGAACTCAGGGGCACTTGACCCTGAGTTCTACATCAGGGTCTATATCTACATCTCTCGACTCTGAGAGCTACATCCCCAGCCCTATTTTGTATTTTATTTAGAGACAGGGTCTCACTGAGTTGCTTAGCAACCTCACTTTTGCTGAGGCTGGCTTTGAACTCGAGATCCTCCTGCCTCAGTCTCCCAAGCATCTGGGATTACAGGCATACACTACTGAGCCTGGCCTATTCCTTAAAAAAAAAAATACATATATATATATATATATATATATATATATATATACATACACACACACATACATTAAGTTGTAGATGGACAGCATGCCTTTATTTGTTTTGTTTTTGTTTGTGGTGCTAAGGATCGAACCCAGGGTCTCACACATGCTAGGCAAGTGCTCTGCTACTGAGCCACAGCCACAGCCCCTAAACATTATTATTCTTGAACACATTTCCCATGTTACATACAAGAGTTTTTCTATGATATAGGACTAAGAGTCAAACTATACACAGGTTCAATTTTATCAGATACCAAACTGTTTTCCAAAATTATTGTGCCAATTAGATAGGAAACAGAACATTCTAACCCAGGGTAGGTGTAGGACTAAAAAGACCCACCCACTCTGTTGCCTAAAACTGTCAGTGATTTTCCCTTTTCACTTGGAATAAGATCTAAGTCCCTACCTTGGCTTACAAAGCCCTGTATGATGGGAACTCTGCCTTACACTCTGCCCTGTGCTATTATGAATCTTCTCTTTGCTTGTGGAACTCTCTGGAATGTTCTTCCACTAGACATTTCCATGGTTTGCTCCCATGGAAAAGACTACTTCTTTTAGTCTTTCCCTGACCACTGATTTTGAGACTGTAACTTCTAGCATTCTTCATCTTTTTTCTTTTTCTTTCTTTCTTTGGTGCTGGGTATCAAATCCAGAGTCTTCCTTTCCCTCTTTTCAATTTTTTTTGTTTTGTTTTTTCCATAACCCAATCATCTTGGTTCCCTTTGTTCCACTCAGCCTCAGGCAGCTTTCTGTCCTCTGCCAGGGCTTGACAGAGTGTAGATCCTCTCATTCCTTAAGGGGAGGACTGTTTGTTTCTGTGGTAATAGGAATTGAAGCCAGGGGTGTTATTCCACTAAACTACATGCACATATCCTTTGCATTTTTTATTTTGAGACAAGGTTTTTCTAAGTTGCCCAGGTTGGCCTTGAATTTACAATCTGTTTTATCTTTCCAAGTCACTGGGATTAAAAGCATGAACCATGGGCCTTGCCTTACCTGACTGTTTGGGGGTTGTCTAGCTGCCCCTCTGATTGCTTCACCTCTGAGTCACTGTTTATTATCACATCACCCTGTGATAATGAGAATAGCCATTCTCATGCTCTGAAATAAGCTAATTTGTTCACCTGTTTGGTTTTTGTCCTTACTCTGCCCCACCTTCCCTTCTTTTGGGAGCTCCATAAGAGAGGAAACTCAGCTGTCTTGTTCACTACCAAGGCTAGTGCTTGACCCATAATAGACTTGCAAATAATAGTTTTCCAGATCAGCTGTCAGTTTTCCAAAGACAGCCAGGTACCCCTACGCCCACACCTGGGACTTGCTCTCTCTGGAAACTCCCAGGACCCAGGCATTCTAACACTTCTACCTGCTCCCAACAGCACCCCTGACTCAAGTCTCTTAGAGTGCTTCTACTGATGCCACTGCCTCCCTGAGCCCCCTCTGGGAGTTGTTTGGGGCCAGTAGCTCTGGCCACCAGAGTTGGAGAAACTAGGCAGGTGTTAAGGCCTAGAGTGTAAGAAATTCTTGTGATTAAATAGAGGGGAAGACTTCAGAGATTATAGGGCCTGGCCAGGTGAAGAAGAGAGAAAGGACATTCCAAGCTGAAGGAACAGCGTGAACAAAGGACTGGGGGCATGAAAGTGCATGTCCTATTTGAAGAACATGTTCTGGTCTGGTATAGTTAGAGGATTGTCAATGGCAGGGAGGGTGGCAGGAGAGCTTTGCTGGGCAGATCTGGAAGGGGAGGGCTGGCTGGGGAGGGCTGAACTCCCTGCAGGATCTGCAAGGCTCAGCGTGTCTTAGATTTAATCCTACCCCCACCCCGAGTTCATCCCTCCTACTCCCCGCTACCCTCCCTTCTACCCAGGCCCCAGCCTTCCTGCTCCTACAGCTAGATGGACTTCTCTGTGGGCCTACGCTTGGGGCCTAGGAAAAAGAAGGTTGCCTACCAAGAGCCCCCTACACCCTCTGGGCACGGTCCACCAACTACCTTTCCCTGCCTGCCCTGTCACCCCTCTGCGTGTACCTGCTCCTGCCCTGCCTGTCCCCCTCCCACCTACTCCTGCGTTGCCTGTCCCTCCTATGCAGCTACCTGCCCATCCTGTCCCAGCCTCCCTGGGCCACCCTGCACCTGCTCCTGCCCTCCTTGCCCTGCCTGTCCTCCCTTGACTTGTCCCCATACCTCCTGTGTCCCCTGCTCCGGTCCACCCCTGACCTGCTGCCACTCCTCCTCTTGTCCCATTTACCCTTGTTCCAAGGGCCAAGGTGCCTGTTGGAGTTCCCGGAGTTCCCACCTGGCCTGTAGTGATAGCTATGGCTGTTGCCAAGGGGCAGCTTGCGGGCTTCCAGCCTCCACTTGTTGCTGTAACTTCTGCCTAAGGAGACGGCGTGCTTCTCAGGGGCGCTGTCTGATTGTCTAGATGAACTGCTGCTCTCCGAGAGACTATGGGTCTCCTGAAACACTTCTGAAGCTGCTTCCTCAGGCAGGAGCTCTAAGCAGAGTGGGGAGAGGGATCAGCTGGACCCCTGCCCAGGCAAGGAAAGGCAGCAGGTTACCCAGAACCCCTCTTCCCCAGGCCTGGGGGACAGGGAGCGTCTGCTTTGAAGATAGTTTCTGGGCGTGCTAGTGCTGGTTCCAGAACCTCCTCTTCTGCAACTTCTGGAATGGAAAGTGAAGCACCCTTACAGCCCCTGAAGGTGAGCAAATTGGCTATTTCTTCCCCTCCACTCAGCCTCTAGTGGAAACCTTTGTTTCTTCTACAATTCATATGGTTAAGATCAAACCTTTGTCTTGAAGCCACTCTGGCCCCTTGGCCTCTATCCATACCCCTAGTTGCCCCAAGAGTTTCTGGACCTCTGACCTCTCATTTTGAATCAGGAAGAGAAGGTCAGTAGCTATTAGCCCAGAATCGATGGCTAAGCAGAGGGTTCCTGGATCTCCCTCCTTAAATAGCTTTGCCATCCTTCCTGGTCCACACTTTTAGCCGGAAACCCTCTGCCTGGATAGCTTGTCTTGAAATCTCTCAGAACTCTCAGCCTATGACCTCAATCTTGTAGCAGTAATCCCATCTATGACAACTATCTCATCTATCATGGGGATGAAAGAAGCTGGGGACCCTTGACTCAGGGTCAAGTAAGTCCTGTGTCCCTGGGGTTGGGGTTGGGGCTGGGAGACAGGAGAAGTCACCAAGAGAAGTCAGACTAGTCATCTAGAAGTCAGACTCGGGTACTTATCGGGCCTGCTCCTAGGCCTGAAATCCTAAGCCCCTCCATGTTTCTCACATTCTCTGGCTTCTACTTGCCTTCTTTTTCTTCACCTCCTTTTGTAGGACCTTTGTTGTTGTTGTTTTATCTTGTTCTTTTCTCCTACCTCCCACCCTGTACCAGTTGGATTTCCCCAACTACTCAGGGGCTCTCGACCACTGAGCCACATCCCCAGCCTTATTTTGTATTTTATTTAGAGACAGGGTCTCACTGAGTTGCTTAGCACCTCACTTTTTCTGAGGCTGACTTTGAACTCACCATCTTTCTGCCTCAGCCTCCTGAGCTACTAGGATTATAGCAGCTTTTTTTATTGGTGCAGTATACTTGTACAAATGATGGAATTTGTTGTTTCACATTCATATATACACAACATACACACAATACAGCAATATAATTTGGCCAATTATGTTCTTTTCTTTCTGCTTATTTTTTTCTCTATATTTCTACTGCATTCTCTCCCCCCACTGTTTACATTGGGACATTTTGCCTTCACCAAGCTTTTGTCACTGTATCTGTCTTTGCTACTCTCTATTTCTCCTGATTTAAAGACATATCTGGGGCTGGGGTTGTAGCTTAGTGGTACAGTGCTGGCTTAGCATGTATGAGGCACTGGGTTTGATCTTCAGCACTACATAAAAATAAATAAAAATAAAGGTATTGTTTCTATGCAACTAAAATATTTATTTAATTAATTTGTTTATTTTTTTGTGGTGCTGGGGATTGAATTCAGGGCCTTATGCATGTAAGGCAAGCACTCTACCACCTGAGATATTATCCCCATCCCTAAAAATTTTATTTAAAAAAATTTTTTTTAAAAAGACATATCTTTTTCTTTCCTCCTTCCCTGCCTCAGTCCCTGTCTTCATGGCTACTTTCTTCTTTGGTCTTTCTCTTCACCTCCTATCTCTCTGCTCTTCTGTTTATTCTGCTTCTGGGTGCCATCTCATTTGTGATCTCTTCTGTTTCTATTTCCCTTTCTGTATCTGTCTCTCTTCCTGTCTTCTGTGTCTAGTTGTTTTATCATTTCCTATCTCTCTTTCTGCCTCTCCTCTCCTTCTCCCTCTCTCCCCCTCTCTCTATCCTTGTATCTCTCCTCCTGGGTCCTTCGGCTGTCTGCACAACAAAACAAACCAGATCTGTTTCATATCTATCTCATTTCTACCCAGGGGCCAGGACATTGAGCTCTCCAGTGTCTGTCTGTACTACGCAGACCATGCACGGGAGGGAGTGAGGGGCAGACACAGTTACCAGAGTAGCACCTCCCTTCCCCAAGTACTACCTAGGCCACCCTTTCCTGCTCAGTTTTAAGCCCAAACATTATTATCATTTTGTAATTTTTCATTTTGTACCATGGATTGAACCCAGGGGTGCTTAACCACTTAGCCATATCCTCAGCCCTCTTTTAAATTTTGAGACAGGGTCTCACCAAATTGCTGAAGCTGGCCTCTTACAATCCTCCTTCCTCAGGCTACCCAAGTCACTGGGATTATAGGCATGCACCATCGTGCCAAGATAAGCCCAACCATTTTTTAAAATGATATTTCAGCAAGGTGGCACAAGTCTGTAATCCCAGCAATTCAGGAGACTAAGGCAGGAGGATAACAAACTGGAGACCAGCCTTGGCAACTTAGTGAGACCCTGTCTCAAAATAAAAATAAAAAGCTTGGCCAGGCATGGTGGCACACAGCTATAATCCCAGTGGCTCAGGAGGCTGAGGCAGGAGGATTTTCAAAGCCAGCCTCAGCAACAGCGACGAGCTAAGCAACTCAGGGAGACCCTGTCTCTCAATAAAATACAAAATAGGGCTGGGGATGTGGCTCAGTGGTCGAGTGCCCCTGAGTTCAATCCTCAGTACCCCTCTCAAAAAACAAAAAACAAACAAACAAAAGAAAAAAAAACCCTGGTGCTGCAGTTCAGTGGTATAGCACCCCCAGGTGCAATCCCCAGTATGGCAAAAAGAAAAAAGATATTTCAGGAATGGAGATACAGTTTAGTGGCAGAACACTTGCCTAGTATGATCAAGATCCTGGATTCTATCTCAACACCATAAATAAATAAATAAATAAATAATAGAAACAATGTCTCTCCAAGCTTCTTATTCTGAAAGTTGGCAACTAAAAATAAAAAGTGGGGACTGGGATCGTGGCTCAGTGGCAGAGCACTTGCCTCGCATGTGTGAGGCACTGGGTTCAATACGCAGCACCACATTAAAAAAAAAAAAGTAAATAAATCAAATAAAGGTATTGTCTACAGATTAAAAAAATAAAAAATAAAAGTGGCCTGTGGATGAGCTTAGCTCAAAACTATAGGGGAAAAAAAAAAACATTGAATTAAGCATTTAGGATTTATGCTGCCTGTTCTATATAAACTATGTTTCAGGACAGCCAAATAGCTCTTACTGATGGAGACAACCTCTTATTTAAAGAAGACTTCCAGCTAATATGGAAGGATTATGGGAGAAAAAAATCACCATTTTGCAATTCCCAATGAATTAAAGCAAGAATCATGTATGGGTAAATCAAAGATGATGATTGATGAAGACTTTTGCAATGGAAGAACCAAGCTGCCACCATCTGAGCCCACTGATGAGTCTTAGCATCACTAAAAAGCAACATAAACAGATGCCAGGTACCTCCTGATGTGATACAGTTTGAAGCACTCAGCATCAAGGAGTGATGTTTCTCCTAAACAAGGAGACAACCAAGACACTGAAGATGAATCTAATCAAATCTCCAGAGCTAACTTCCATTTCATGGGAAATTCAGGAGATGGAGGCTCATGTGAAATATCACTGAAGAAGTAAGCAGATGCATCCCAAACGTGGGACATTCTAAAGGAAATCTGACCCAGTTTCCTCAAGTAGTCAATGGCTTAAGGGGGGAGAGTTAGAAGGGTTTTAAAAAGACAACTATAGGGCTGAGGGTGTAGCTTGTAGTGGTAGAGGCTTTGCCTAGTGTGTGTGTGATGTTCTGGGTTAATCCCCAGCAACACACACACACACACACACACACACACACACACACACACACATAAGACCAACTACTTACACAGAACATGTGGACTTCTTTCAGTTCGTGATTTGTAGAACCAACTATAAAAAGATATTTTCAGACAGTTGGGAACATTTAATTGTGGACTGGGTATTTATGATGCCAAAGAATCAGTGCTAATTTTGCTAGTTGTAAAAATGGCCCTGGAAAAAAAAAAAAAAAGGGCCCTGAAGTTATATAAGAGAAGGTCCTTATTTCCTAGAGACACATGCTGACATGTACAATAAAGCAAATTCTTTAATTTTAAATATTTCAGAAGAAAATTAAGAACAGAAAGAAAAGAGTAGAGGGCACAAACAGTGACAAAATTCATAATTGTTGAATTAGTATATGTGGGTTCATAGAACAATGCTATCTTTGTGTATGTTTCAAACATTTTCATAATAAAATTTTTAAATGAAGTTCCTCTGGTAAGCCTGGTTTTTAATAACTCCCAGAGTGTCCTCCCCAACTATCCTGAGATCCAGGACTTCCCCCATGGTTCCTCACACACAGATGCCAGCCCTCCCTTCCCATTATCGGAAGCATGTCCTAGAGATGGATTGTGTTCACTTTTACCCCTCCAGTCTTCCACAGGCAATTTCTCGTTAGGACTTTTCCCACCTAAGCTTCACAGCTCTGAGGGGCCAGGACAACCGTAAATATTCCATAAATATTTTGATTAGGCACTACAATAAAAAAAGATAATCCAAAATAATATAATCTTGTTTCTGGTCTCTATTAGATGCTTCTGAGAAAAATACAATATGATAATGGTAGAAAACTGGTCTCTGCCCTGTGAAACAGAAAGCAAAAATAAAAGGTCATACTATTATATCCATTATCTTTATCCAGGACAATCTCCATATCCAAAGAAAAGAACACCAAGAAATTAGAAACTTGTTGTCATGAGTTCAAGGAGCTGATGCTCAGCAATAAGATGGAGGGCAGTCAGTGCCCAATGCCCTCACTAACTGAGTGACCTTGGAGAAGTCATGAGTTTTTTAATAATAGTATTTCTGAATGAAAGCCTGGGAACAATAACCTCTTTTTACTCTCCAGTAGTTTGACACCTAGTGGTGAAGACACTTTTCAGCTTGTAAGATATAACTCAGCTGTTTTATCCTAAGAAAGTATTTCTCTGGATATAATCTCTGACCCTGTACACTATACTCTCCAAGCATTAATATTAACAATATTTACTAATCATTGTGCAGGCAGCTAGACTCATTTAATTTTCTCAGAAACCTTGTGAGCATGGAATTAGAAAGATCTGGGTCCCAGATCCTATTTTACCTCTTACTATGGGACTCTGGAGATGTGAACTACCTTCCCCAACTCTGGGAGATAATAATCATATCCACCTTAAAGGTTGTTGGGACAATTAAGTAAAATATTTCATCTATAGCAGTTGTCCCAGAACTTTTTTTTTTTTCCATTTCAGTGCTGGGATGGAACCCAGGGCTGTAAGCATGCTAGGCAAGTGCTCTACCCCGACCCACATCCCCAGTCCAACCAGGACTTTTTTTTTTTGTATCGGGTATGGAACTCAGGGGCACTCAACCACTGAGCCACATCCCCAGCCCTATTTTGTGTTTTATTTAGAGACAGGGTCTCCCTGAATTGCTCAGTACGACACTAAATTGCTGAAGCTGGCTTTGAATTAACAATCCTCCTGCCTCAGCCTCCGGAGCTGCTGGGATTACAGGTATACGCCATGGCACCCAGCACCCTTCTTAAAACAGAGCTTAGGTACATAGTAACTGTTTGATAAATGTTAACAGTCAACATGTGCCAATACTTTGTACAATACTTTCATGGATTGATTTATTTATTCATGTATTCATAGAAAATTTTGGAATATTTATTACATAGCAATGACTGTTTTAAGTATTGGAAACAGGTAAACAGATAAAGGACAAGGGTTATAGCTCAGTTGGAAGAGTGCTTGCCTTGCATGCACAAGGCCCTGCGTTCAATCCCCAGCACCATAAATAAATAAATAAATAAAATTTAAAAAAAAACAACCAGATAAAAATCTGTAGGGAGAAGAGATAGTAAAACATATAGTATTCTAGAGGGTGTTAAGTACGGAGAAAAAGTATCAAAGGAGAATAGAGTTGGAAGAAGAGCAGATAGATATACTGTGGTAGAAGTAGTCATGCTGCTGTTTTAAACAGCATGGCCAAAGATGGCTCTGATAAGTCGACATTTGAACAGAAAACTGGAAAAGGTGAGGGAGAGAATTATGTTGGTATTTTGGGAAAAAAAAAAAAAAAACTTGCAGTTAACAGTGTGCAAAGGCCTGGGTGGTAGCCTATGTAGACAGTGTAGAAGGCAGAGTAGTAGAGGATAAGGTCAGAGAAGTAGCAGAAGGCCAGAGGACAGAGGGCTTTTAAGTCATTATAAAGACTTTTAGAGGAGGAAAAGGGGAAATACTAGGGGCAAAAAAGATTTTGCTTTTACCCTTAGTGAGAAGGGGAGCCAATGGAGGGTCCTGAGGACATATTTCAGAATGGAGGGAGGTTAAATAACTTTTCCAAGGTAGAATAGCTCCTAAGAGGGGGAAGCTGGAACTTCAGCTTCAAGGCTACACCTGCCTGTCCCTCTCAGGGGATTGAACCCAGGGGTACTGTACCACTGAGCTACATCCTCAGCCCTTTTTATTATTTATTTTAAATCCATATTTTATTTTATTAGCAGCACTCGGGATTGAACCCTGGGGCACTTTATGAGCTATATCCCCGGCTCTTTTTATTTATTTATTTTGAGATAGTGTATCCCTAAATTGCTGAGGCTGGCCTTGAATTTATGATCTCCTGCCCCAGTTTCTTTTTCTTCTTCTTCCTCTTCCTTCCTCCTCCTTCCTTCTCCTCCCTCCTCCCCCCTCTCCTCCTCCTCCCTCTCCTCCTCCTCCTCTTCTTCTTCTTCTTTTGGTACCAGGGATTGAACACAGGGGCACTCAACCTCTGAGCCACATCCCCAGCCCTTTTGATTTTTTATTTTGAGACAGGCTCTCTCTGAGTTGCATAAGGCCTAGCTAAATTGCTGAGGCTGTTTTTGAACTTGTGATCCTACTGCCTCAGCTTCCCAAGCTACTGGGGTTACTGGCGTGTGCCATGGCACCCGACCTGCCTCACTCAGCCTCTTGAGTAGCTGGGATTACAGGTGTGTACCACTGTACCAAGCTTGAAAGTAATTTTAAGTTAATTGTGCAAATGGCCTAAACTTTACTTCAAAAGTGACTTTATTAAAATTCAACTGAACAAAATATTAGGTATAGGTACCTAACTGATATGTAATATAAGGTATGCATTCATGAAGGTATTTTCTAGAAATAGGTTATCATTTTATTTTGAGGAATGCACTGTATTTCAAATGATTAATGTTCGAGTCAAGTAGAGTGGTACATGACTATAATCTCAGCAACTAAAGAGGCTGAGCCTGAGCAACTTAGTAAGATCCTATCTCAAAATAAAAGATAAAAAGTATTGGGGATGTAGCTTAGTGGTAAAGCACCCTTAGATTCAATTCCCAGTACAAAAAAAAAAGAAAAAGAAAACAAAAAAAAAAAAAAAAAGGAAAAGAAAGAGAAATTGTTTTCCAGGAACTGAAAAGTATGAAAAATAATGAATGGCAAAAAAATAATGAAGATAAAATCTTTAAAATTATCCTCTGGGCGGGGATATATCTCAGTAGAGTGCTTGCCTTGAATGCACAAAGACCTGGGTTCAATCCCCAGCACCACAAAAAAAAAAAAACAAAAAAAACCAAAAAAAAACTCTAAAAATATGCTTCAAAAATCATGTGTGAAATTTGGTATCTTTGAAGAATCTTTGATAGTGGATAAAGTGATTATCACCTATTATAGACACAATTTGCTGAGACAAATTATAAGACGTAAAACTAAGATTCGGGGCTGAGGCTGTAGCTTAATGGCAGAGCACTTGCATGTGTGAGGCACTGGGTTCGATCCTTAGTACCACATAAAAATGAAACAAATAGGGCAAGGGTTGTGGCTCAGCAGTAGAGCACTTGCCTAGCACATGTGAGGCCCTGGGTTCAATTCTCAGCACCACATAAAAATAAATAAGTAAAATAAAGATATTGTGTCCAACTACAACTAAAAAATAAATACTTAAAAAAAATGAAACAAAAGCATGCTGTCCATCTACAACTAGAAAAACATTAAAAAAAAAAAACATAAGATTTGGTTATAAATTCTGGGCACTGTGTGGAGTTTTGGGATATTGCATCAATTTTGATTTATATTGTAGAAAAAGTGCTGGAGGCTGGGTGCAGTAGCACACACCTGTAATCCCAGAGACAAAGACAGGGGTTGGGAGGTGGAGGTGGCGGGGTGCTGAGGCAGGAGGATCATGAATTCAAAGCCAGCCTCAGCAATTTAATGAGGCACTAAGCAACTCAGTGAGACCTTGTCTCTAAATAAAATACAAAATAGGGCTGGGGATGTGGCTTAGTCGAGTGCCTCTGAATTTAATCACCAGTACTCCCCCTCCAAAAAAATACTGGATTCCAATCTACAGGTACCTTAAGGGAAAACAGACTAACAAGTATCTTCTGAAATCTACAACATTAATGGAAAAAACAAGCAAGAAGGTCCTATGATTATTATAGAGTCAATATAAATAATGAAATTTTCATTGTAAAATGGTTAGATAATAAATGTGCCATTGTTGGAATGAACTATCATACAGTGGAACCACTTGGCAAAGTTCAGATATGGAAGAAAGAAAGAGCACAGCCAATGTACCTCAACCAAAGGTAATGGGTACCTTTAACAATTTCAGTGATGATACAGATAAACACTATTGGTTGGTTTCCAAATATTCTACTTCTATTAGAGGTAAAAAATGGTATTGGCCTCCAGACACTCAATAATTGATGTGCATTGTAAATGCACGAATTATTCACAAATTTGGGAAAAAAGACAAGAAAGATCTCATAAATCTGCTGGATTTCAAGAGACATCTAAGCAAGGTGCAATGGCCACTGCCTGTAATTCCAGCAGCTTTGGAGGCTGAAGTAGGAGGATAAAAAGAGGCCAGCCTGGGCAATTTAGCAAGACCCTGTCTCAAAACCAAAAAATGTAAAGGACCAGAAAAATAGCTCAATGGTAGAGTGTCCCTGGTTCAATATCACTACTGGGGTGCAGGGAAGACATCTGCTTAGCATTCCAAAAACAATGCAATGAGAAACCACCAGGAAGAAGATCCAGACCTACTACTGTCCAAGATATCAGATTTGACATGATAAGTTAAATTATTCTCAAACAAGAACAAGAATGTCAAAACAAGCCATGTCATGGAAAACAGAAAACATATTGTCAAAAATGTAATGTAGGGT